AGAACAATTGGATGTAATGGTGAGAAATACTTTGTGAGTTTTATTGATGATTATAGCAAGTTGGCAAAAATTTATTGTATCAAATCTAAGGATCAAGTCTCTGATTGCTTAATTGAATATGTAAATGAAATTCAAAATTTAACAGGGAAGACTATCAAAGAACTAAGATGTGATAATGGTAGTGAATATATGAATAGCAAGATATACAAATTTGCAAGAGAAAAAGGTTTCAAGATAAAGTCATGCCCACCATATGTACACATGAATTAAATGGTACTGCTGAGCGTTACAACAGAACTATAATGGATATGGCAAGATGTCTTTTAGCCGAAGCAAAAGTTGACAGACGTTACTGGCCTGAAGTAATTAAAGCTGCTGCTTATTTGAAAAACAGGACATTAACAAATACTATTGTAAAGAAGACACCATATGAAATATTTTTCAATAGGAAACCATCTGCTAATGAATTGAAATTATACGGAAGTAGAGTGTATGTAAGAATACCAGAAGAAAAGAGAAAGTCAAAGTGGGATAAAAAGGCTGAATTTGGAATTTTACTTGGGTATACAGAAGTTGGATATAGAGTTTTGATGAATAACAGAATAATAGTTGCCAGACATGTTGATATTATTGAAGAAGACATAATGTGTGTAGGTTGTGATGATGAAGATAAGAATGATGATCCTCAAGAAGTGTCGTGTGAATCGAGTAATGATAACTCCAAGGACAGTGTGATAAATGAAGATGAAACAAAAAGTGGAATGAGACCAAGAAGGCAAATCAAACCACTAGTTCGATTTCATGAAGAATTCGGATACTACTGTGTTAGTGCAAATTTTTGTGATGCTACAATTCCAGGTAACTTTGAGGAGGCGACAACATGCAGTGAGGCTGGACATTGGAAAGAGGCAATGGACAGTGAAATGAACAGTCTTGTTAAAAATAACACTTGGACACTAGTGACTAAACCAGAGGATAAAGCAATTCTAGATGTGAAGTGGGTATTCAAAAGAAAACCAGGTAATGTTTTTAAAGCTAGATTAGTAGTTCGAGGTTTTCAGCAAAAAGATAGTATTGAGGACACTTACTCCCCTGTCATCAAGATGCAAACCTTAAAATTGTTACTTTCATATTCCTGTCAGTATAATTTAAATATTCATCAAATGGATGTTGAGACTGCTTTTTTAAATGGTTATGTTGTGTCTGAGGTTTATGTTAAACAGCCACAAGGCTATAATGATAATTCGAATAGAGTGTATAAATTAAAGAAAGCACTATATGGGTTGAAAGAAAGCCCTCGTGCTTGGTATGAGTGCTTTAACGAGTATATTGAGAGTCTAGGATTTCGTAGAAGTAAATATGATTATTGTCTTTATGTAAAATCTGAAAATGATGTATTTGTATATATTCTTTTATTTGTTGATGATTTGTTGATATGTTGCAGAGATACTCGGGTAATTAATGATATTAAGGAACAACTTCATAAAAAATTTAAAATGAAGGATTTAAATAAAGTAAAAAGCTACATTGGAATTGATATTGAATATGATAATGAGAAAAGTAATATCTTAACACTGAGTCAGGAAAATTATATTGAATCTTTAGCTAAACTGTATGGTATTAAAAATTCAAAGCTTTATGATACACCAATGGAGACTAATCTTAAACTAAGCCAATCTAATTTAAATCAAAATGTCAAATATAGAAATCTAATAGGAGCACTCTTGTATATTAGTCATAGTAGTAGATCAGACATATCTTTCAGCGTAAATTATTTAAGTAGATTTCAAAATTCTTATGATGAGACACATTTCAAATTTGCTTTGAGAGTTTTAAAGTATTTGTACTTAACAAAACATCTAAAATTAACCTATAGTAAAAATCTTAAAACTGATATTATGAATTGTTATGTTGATGCTGATTGACAGGTGATATTGTTGACAGAAAGTCAACTACAGGGTTTGTTATTGAATTATTTGGTAATCCAATTTACTGGAAATCCAGAAAGCAAAATTGTGTGACAAAATCTTCCACTTTTGCCGAATATATTGCTCTATCTGAGGCTGTGACAGAAATTAATTTCTTAAAAAATGTTGTGAATGATGTTTTTGCTGATATAACTCACCCCATTAAAATTTATGAAGATAATTCAGGAGCTTTGGCCATTGCTAATTATGGGAACTTCACTAAAAATTCAAAACACATAGAAGTTCAATATCATTATGTTCACGAAAATGTTCAAAATGGAGTAATTGAAATTGTAAAGATTGATTCAGAATCAAATATTGCAGATATCTTTACTAAGTCTTTAGGAAAGATTAAATTTATGAAATTTAGAGAAGGTTTGAAATTGAAATAAATTTTGTATACTCTTTATTTAAGTGATGTTTATTTAAATATATTTGCTTGAAATGAAATAGATTTTGGTAATGTCCTTATGTAAACTAAATTGCGTTTAACTTTGATTTTAACATTTAAGTTAATGAAAGAAACTTTTTTAACAATAATTTGTGTTAAGTGTTGAATGTTATTGTTTATATCTATGCTTAATTGTAAATGGTAAAGATGAAAAGATTGCTTATATCTATGTTTGTTTGTAATTAGTAAATATAAATGTAAGGAGGCGTGTTAGTTTGGTACATTTATATTTACCATATTGGCAACACCAAGTTCTCTCTTCTCTGTGTGCGAGCTATGGATGCCGATGTAATGTTGTGCACGTGTTGTTAAGTTTCAATAAAAAATGTGAAAAGATACGTTTCTTATTTTTCGACTTGCTTCTTCATATGATATCGATTTATTTAACAGAACTTTACGAATACGAATTGAAAATTCTCCAGAAATTTCTCTTAGTATTACTTCTAGTGCTGATTTCATTAAATATTTTCTTTCTTTAAGTAATAGTTTTGTTAAACTAATTCGTATTCTTAGTTTTATTTTATAGGTTTATTTCCAACTGTTGACAAGGTAAGAGGTCATCAGGTCCTATTACTAGAGATGAATTTATGTATGCCAAGCTAGCAATGGTAAGGCTAGTACAGCGAATAGTATTCAAGGAAAAAATTCAAGCCCTTAGATATGGTAAAATTATCAAGGATAGTCACTTAAGTAATTTACATCCTTTCGTCAACAAAAATGGAATACTTAGGGTAAGTGGCAGATTAAATAAATCATCTTTATCCTATGACCAAAAGCACCCTATTCTGCTGCCTAGGGATCATAACGTAATTACTATAATTATGCAATACTTCCATTTAAAAAATTTACATGTTGGTGCTCAGACTTTACTGCATTGTGTTCGACAGGAATTTTGGCCACTAAACGGCAGAAACACTGCTCGTAAAATAGTACATAACTGCATTATCTGTTTTAAAAGTAAACCTAAAACAGCCCAAAAACTTATGGCACAATTTCTGAAGGAAAGAGTTTCTATGAGTCCCCCCTTTTCCATAACTGGAATAGATTTATGCGGACCCTTTTACATAAAATATAAAAATCAATGAAGAGATACCTTAAATAAGAAATATGTTGTTATTTTTGTATGTTTAGTTACTCGAGTGATACATCTCAATTTTGTTACATATCTAACATTGCAGGCTGTAATTACAACATTAAAAAGATTTTTCGTGCGACGCGGCCTTAGCTCAACTATACATTCGGATAACGCTACCGACTTTGTCAGAGCCAATGCCTCAAGGACTGATAAAATGTGGACTATCGAACCTATGTATTCTACCTATGAACGATTGATGTAGTGAATTTATATTATAATTACTTGTATTAATATTGCATATCTATTTTATTGTAAAATGTAGTAATTTGCTTGTTATTTGTTTAATAGATATATTATTGCATTTAATTGTTTCTAACTGATATATGTATCAAACTTTGAATTTCTTAAAAAATTTATATTAGTTTTGAAATTAGTATTTCAACACAGGGCGGGATGTTGGTACCTGAATGTCTGCTATATGAAACCTTTCTCCTCTGATTTAGGTGCCTAGCACGGAATCTTGTAACATGCACGCGTCAATAGCGGCCCTCCCCCCCATAATTCTTTTTTAATTAGCTTGTTCAATGAGAAATTTGTTGCTTGGATTTCTGAATGGCTGCTAATTGAGCGGTTAATTTTCAAATAGAATAAAAGATGGATTGAAAAGAAAATTAGTTTTGTTATTTCGTAGCTACAGTCCAAAACACCAAGCTTCTACACTTATTCTGGTATGCATTAATTAGTAAGCACATTAGAAGATACTTTCTGTGTTATCGTTTTTCTTTTTCACTTGAATTGTAGATATCAATTAACATATTTTCCATCACTAATTTATTTATATATGTGTGTGTGTGTGTGGCTGGTTTTACACACCAGTTAACTTTATTTTTTTGATAATAAGCTGGTTCAGTATGAATAATCCATGATCTTAACAACAGTTGCATTACCAAAGACAATTTTTAAGAAACTCACATATTAGAAACAGATGTAAAATTTTATACATTAATTTAAAAAAAAAAACTGATGTCTGCTAATAATCCCGAGTAAAAAATCTTATTATGTGCTTGATTTGAATAAGCATGAAATAATACTTTGATTAAAGGTAAAAGTTATGCAACATTAGTAATATTATTTTTCCTTAATAAAACTGAAGTCTGAAGTTTCAAAAAATTATTAATAACTAAACTTAAAATCTCAAATAATGCATAACTGTGACTTCTACAATTTTTCAAAAAACATAGGAAACGTTTTAAATTAATTTAAAAATTAAAGCTTAAAATTACCTTTTAATTTCCAGTACATATTAATTTTCTCAAGAAATGTAATTTCAAATTTTAAAAATCTTAATTTTTAAAGATTTGTATGTCTAATTCAATTATATTTGTATGAGATGATGCATTCAAAAGAAAAGTAAGGCATGAAAGATTTTCCTAATACTAAGTAACTGATTTATACATTTTACTTTATAGTTAATTAATTAAGAGTATAAAAAATACAAAGGAATTACCTGTTTTAAATCTAATGTAATGGTCACCCACTCAAAATGTTTCCCATTTTGTAATGTTGGGCTTTGCCACCACTGATTAGTACCATCTATGGCATTTATAATTGGATGCCTATGTTCAGGATTGTCACTGCGCGCACTACACAGGCCACACTGAGGTTCTCTAAGGAAAAAATTTACATATAGTTATTGACCAAAACAGATATCTCAAATATAATGCCTATAGTCCCTTTTCCTAGCTGAAAATACTTATGATTTTTGAGATTTTACTTCAGAAATAAAAAACAAAAAGTTTAAAATGTTATTTTGAAGAAAATTTTTTGAACAAATAGACAACATAAGCCACTAAAATAAGACTTATACAAAATTAGGCTACTTCCATATTATTCCATCAGCCATGAAAATAAGATGCCATTGAACAGTGAAAGGTGGTGGATATCCTGCTAAAGTTATACTAATTATTCCTGTGGAATTCTGAAGAAAATGATGACTATTTTATAAACAATTAGCATTCAACCCACTTCATTTTTGCTTTTTGTAAAAGGCTTTTGTTGATTTCTATGATTCGGTTAAGCCCGATTTTACTGGAAGCTCTATTTATGTATGCTGTAAGTACAAATTTCCTGCAGGTAAATGTTCCAATCTATTTTGTCAACTATCTTCAGTTGACCATATCATGTCAATTAATGTAAGCTTTTTTTTAACAGTAGGATCCTATAACTTTGAACATAATCCACTGTGCACTGTTTTGTAGAAAGCACATCCCAAATTTTAACTACCCCCCCTCTGAAATGAAAGATAAAAATACAGCAAAAGTAGTTCATTTATAGCCTAATTCATAAAAACAAAAGGTGGCTTATCTAGAATCAGTTGGAATAAGTTGGTTATCTAGAATCTTATCTAGATTATGTAAAACAAATACACAGATGTTATGTTGTTACATTATGCTTTCTCATCATTCTGCTTGGCAATGGTTTCACAGTCAATGGAATAATATACAAGCACCCAAATTAGTTCTTAATGTATGGTTTAAACTAATTCCTTCACAGTGCTCTTTTTTTTTTTTTTTTTTTTTTTTTGGGGAGGGGGAGGCATTAGTTCTACTTAAATTTACTTTAAATTTCTAGCATCAAATTGAGCATAAGATGACTATTTCTGAAACTGACTAGTATTTCTGTGGACACAGATTATCACAGGTGGTGAAAATCACCTCTTAATTATCACATCCAGAGAAGACCAAAGTCATCTGGAACCATGGTTGTTATCTTGCACAGGGTTCTCTCTCTATGTATATATTTACATACATATATAAATACATGTAGCTTAACTAATAAATTGATTCTCAAAATTTTCATTGATGATTAAGGTGACCAAACATCCCGGTTTCCTAGGATTGTCCCAGTTTTTGGTACTCTGTTCTGTCATCCCGGAACATGTATTCGGGATGGTCTGTAGTCTCGGTTTTACATATTTTACAAAATTCGTATTTGAAAAAAATACTGCTATTCATGAGCAAGCAGCTCATTTGTTCTACGAAACAGATGTAAATGGTTGTAAGCTTAAGCACACTAATGTACTTGTTTACATTTTCCTTGTGGCGCTGGCCATACAGTAGTGGGGGTAATGAACATATATTTCATATGTTTTTTTCACTTTGCTGATCACTTTCGTACAGATAACAGCATTTTGGTTCAAGCTTTAAATCTTTTGAGAGTATACTGTTTGCTCAAGACCTCAAAATGTTAGTTTTTCGACTCCAGCATAATAAGGTATGTTTTTTCCTTTTTTAAATAATTGTTCAACTTAACCTAATTTTTAAAAATCGAGTTTGTTTCATCCACACTAAAATTATATGTTTCCCTATTTTGTAATTTGATAACTGGTTTGTATATTAAATAAGTTAAAAAATTAATATAAAATTTAAATTTCATTAATTACTATTTTAATTTTAGATCCCTTGAAATGTCGAAGCGTAAATGTACGTATAAAGAAGATTACTCAAAAAAATGGAAGTTCATAAGAAAAGAGGAAGTAGAATATACAGTATGTATGTCCTTTATAAGGATTAGGCATGGTGGTAGAGCAGATATTAAGGACCACTTAGACTCGAAAAAGTATATCTGCAACATATCAAAAGCACGTTCTTCACAAACAATACATTCTTTTTATTAGAAAACCTAGTTCCGATGAAGAATATAAAATAAATGTAGCTGAATTGACTACTACATATCATACATTTAAACATCATTATACATTTCGCAGTACAGAGTGCAATACTAAGTTAACAAAAGTTTTATACTCAGATTCAGTAACTGCAAGTAAATTTTCATCAGCACGAACCAAATCGACTGCATTAATTAAATCAATTATTGCTCCATATTCTCTTCAAAATATTAATATAATTATTGAAAAAAATAATTTTTATGGATTCACTACAGACGTTAGAAATCATTAATTGACAAAAATGTTTCCTTTTGGCATCCAGTATTTTGGCATGTATAAAGAAATACAATTTTAATTGTTAAGGGTCACTTCTTTGTAAAATAAAACAACCAAGACGATCACCTATTTTTGCATTGAAACGTTAAAAGAATTCAAATTAGACATAAGTAAATGTGTAGCTTTCTGCGGTATAATGCTAATACAAACTTCGGAGGTATTCGAAGAAAAGGAACGTACAATATTTATTATAAATTGAAACAAATAAATGAAAATATAGAGGGCATCGGTTGCCCGGTGCATATCACACACAATACTATGCAAACGGCCGCGAATAGACTCATACTATCTATCCACGGCTCTTGTGATATTGAGGTTGGAGTCATTAAAATATTCACATATTTTTCAATTTATACTGTAAGGACTGAAAGACTAAAAGAATTTTGAGATTTCATGGGAATCCAATATGAAAATGTGTTGACCCATACAGGCACACATTGGCTCTCATTACTTCTCGCAGTAGAAAGGATACTAAAAATTTTTGAGGGAATAAAATGTTTTTTCTTTCTGAGGAAAGAGCTCCAAAAACCTTCTTGACATTTTTCAGTAATCTCTTGAGTGAACCTATCTATGGCTTATTCATAGTCAAATGCATGTTTTTGACAAAGGAATTTAAAAAATATAAGGTAACAAGAAATGCTGCATCAAAGTTGATTCAGTATTGGGAGAGACGCTAACCATCACTAAGGAAAGGTTCAACAACTGTTTTCTTACAATCAGTGTATAAAATGTCTTACGAGAGAAAAAAGATGAAATATCACAATCGATGTTGTCTAATTATAAGCGTGAAATTGATGACTTTTACAAAACAGCGTACAAATACCTTTTTATGTGGAAGGAAACAAATGCTAGTGTATCCATATTTTCTCGGTTGTTACTTTTAGAAATACCTGTTTGGAAGAAAGTTGAGACCACCTGTTTATATATCTCAAAGAAAGAAGAGTTCAATTAAATAATTCACTACTCTTTAATCAAATAATTAACATAAAAAAAATAATGATTGAAAAATTCGAAAAATGGAAGAAGGAGAATATGCTTTGTTATGAAAAATGGATAGATTTTTTTAAATGTAGTGAACACGCTGAGGACTATTCCAAAATTTTGAAAATATGTCAATATATGTTTTCAATTCCACCTCATAACGCTAATATTGAATGGATATTTTCTCTAATGAATGTACAGGGGACAGACGAGCAGAATCATTTGGACATTTCAACTGTACAGTCCATTCTTCAAGTGCTGACGAATTATGATTTGAACTGCCAAGAATTTCATGACTACATTATCTCCAAACCAGAGCTGTTAAAGCAAGTCAGGTCAACCAAAAAATATAAATAAATGACACATTATTTAAAATTTATAATCAATGATTTATAATTGATTTTGTTTTGCATAAACCATTAGAACATGATAATTCTAACCATTTATGTACTTATTACATATAAACACATGTGCATATATTTCTGTGGTTTAGATTCAGTTGTATTAATTCAAATTATATTGTTTTGTGAAAATAAATTAGACTGAAGCATTTTTTTAGGGTCCCGGTTTGGTGTTTTCGAAATATGGTCACACTATTGATGATTAATAAAGAAAAAAACTAAATACATAAATATTAATCGAACTAGAAATGCTCAAGAAAGGACTTAAAGTTCACATGGGTTAACATCACTACAGTAATACACTGAATGCTACAAAAAGGGAAATAAAATTTTACTAAAATAAATTTCTAATCTCTATAAGCAGATCCACTATAGTCTTATACTTCTCTTAATTTGGAACGAAGTGATTGTACTAGAGTGATGATGTAAAGTAGTAATGTTTATGTTCATAAGAATACTAATCATTCTTAGAAGTGGTTAGCTTGATAAGATGATTGCTAAGACAGGGTAAATTATACTTAGGAGTGTAAAATTAATTATACTCAATTGAAATGATTAAGAAATTTTTGTGTGTGTATTTTCTTCCAGCCCAATCAGCTTTGAAAACTATATTTTATATAATAATAGCTTTGAAACATTCTTATCGTGACACAGAATCATTAATCAGAAGTAACTGTTCTCTTTCAGAAGTGATTGTCATAAGAGGGGTTCACTGTAATTCCATCTATTACCTTCAAGCAAGAAAAAGAACAAACATAAAATAAAATAAAAATTTTTAATGAAACAAATTAACATTATGCTCAGATACAGATATTTAATTTTAAAAAATAAAATTTTCAAATTTTAAAGCATTACCTCATGAACACATGTTCTACTAATTTACAATAGATTTCTGGCTTATCTTCCCCACATGTTGCATTTGCACTGATGATTGCATTAGCAGCTAAATTATTTACAGATGGAAACAATCCTCTTTCTAAAAAGAAAGAAAGAAAATGCTCATTTACTTTTGTTTAACAGATACATATAAACATTTCAAATGATTCCAAAATGTATACTAATTGGACAATCTGAACAGAATTTAGTAACGAATAAATGTTTATATTCTGATTCTTAAAGTGACATTTAAAAAGCAAAAAAAAAAAAAAAAAAAAAAAAGCAGCTGTTTATAGCTCAGTGTCTGAAAGTCTTTCAGGGCTAAATATGAATAATCAGCGAAATTTTAAGAAACAAAGTAGAATTTTTAAAAATCAGACACAAAGCAAATATTTAAGAATCTTGAACTCACTCAATTACTATTCTGTATTTTTGAAAGTTTTTTTCCCCATTTCTTTTTATTACAGTGAGCTCAGAACAATCCATAATGGAATTTAGTTCCTAGTGAAAATTCTAGATGGGATACAATAACTTAGTGCTTATGGTCTTATCACATCTCCTAATTAATTAGGATGGCTGAAATGTTTCAAAGAAACATGAGTCTCCTTCTCTTACCACTGAAGGATTCTTTGTCAAAACATGTCTCACTGGAATATATGTCACACCTAGCTACGTGGGACGTTTTACAACTAAGATGAAAACATCCCAGTATTCCTTGTAGCTTTTTACCCAAAGAACTGTTTTTTGCATAAATCAGCCAATCAAATGACATAAAAGCCAAATTTCTGAAATGCTTCTTTCTGTTAAGGGTAATTCGTCGATATGACACTGGTTTAACATATGCACTTAATCCCTCTCAAAAAAAAAAAAAAAAACTTTTTATTATTACCACTGTACAATAATATTCTGATTTATGAAAACTTAGAAGCTAAGCAGTTCCTCATCTTTCTTATTTTATTTTACATATTTATAACCATAAATGGATTAATTAATTTGCATTTGAAATTGTCAGTAATTCAGAACATGCTAATAAACAAAACACTACTATGCCTTTATATTACACTTAATTTTAAGGAAATAATATGCATTAAAAAATTACTTCTTCTAAATGCTCCAAAATTCCATCTTTCTCTTCAAAAATGCAATTATTCTACGTTCACTTACGTTCACAGACAATGCAATTATTCTACGTTAATACACACAATGTGATCAATGTTTTATTCTTTAGCTCAGAAAAAGTGAAGAATGGAATTAAATATTCTTTATTTCTTCTTCTTCTTTTTTTTTTTTTTTTTTTTTCCCCCACTTTGTAATTATGAATTGAGCCATCAGATGGGCTTGTAAACTTTTGTGAAACCATCAGCATCCAAATAATTCCATTGTATGTAGCATATTTATTATTAGTATTATTTTGGATTGATATGCATGAAAACTATATTTTTTTTTAACCCACATTTCTTCTAAACAAACACTTGGTCTATTTAAGTAAAATTCATCTGTATTCATATACAAAGTTAAGCCATGAGTCTGTGCTTTTTGTTAGTCCTGCCTATTGGGTAAGTTTAGGATGTTAATGAACATTAAGAAAGTTCTGTTCATTTCCTGAATGTTTATTCCTCAGAAGTCTACCCAATGATTTAATGGACAAAGTAACATTATGATGTTCTAAAAATCTCATTTAAATTCGATTTCACTCTTCAAAAAATATGCATGGCAAATATTAATATACAAATTATGCAAACCTGTAAAGCACACATAAGGCAACATAATGGAAACAGTTAAAATTATAGAAGCAGCAGTAATAATAATAAATGGAACTCTTTCCTGTGTAAAACAAACATTTCTTGATCCATAATTCTTTAAATATTACATAATATGTAACAAAATTCATTTTAATTGACTTAATACATTAAATTTTTCTCCCTATTTTTAATTTTCGCACATTCAAACAAGTCAGTTTCCCCTAAAAATCCCCCCTCCTAGAAGAGACTATAGTATGCTTTATATAAATAAATAAACTAATCTCATCCAATTCATAAATTTGCATTAAATGCACTTTGAGATAAAATGTTTGCAACACTAAAGAAAAAATAAGTGTTTTGATTCTCAATTTAATTCTTTTACAGCATCCCTCCATTTGTAGCACATTACTAAGAGTACTAAAACAACTTGATGTTACTGGAACATTTCAACTGTTCTCTAACTATAATAATAGCTGACCACCACACAGGATGATTGTTTTAACTAACTGGAATACCACTATTATAATATGCAGAAAGTGGAGATCACTTTTTCCCAAGATTTTAAAAATCAGAAAAGAATTCTTTTATGACAAAAATGCCAAGCTGCTTATAAAGTACACAAGCAAATGCAAATCTTTTGAAGGAATTATATCACAATAGTATCATAGCAGGGAAATCTCTGTTTATGTAAACAATACGTCAAGCTTTCACAGTTAATAGATTTATTAGCAAGCAAGAGGATGAATGATTTTTGCATGTGGAAGCTTCCTTTCAAGCTTAATCTCCAGAAAGATAAAAATAGACTTTAAACTGTTTCCAACTGCCCCCCCCCAAAAAAAATTATTTTTCTAGTTTGCCCCTAAATAAAAATAATTGAAGGAGTAATTTATTTTCTGATTTTTCATACATAAATAAAAGGTGAAATTAATAAACACGCCACTGTTCACTACTCTTCAGTGTCAGAAACAACTCGCACGCTTTTTCTCTGCCATTAAGTTTGAAACTGTGCATGTTTTACACACGCAGGCTTTCAGCTTTTGTGGATTTAATTCGCTCTAGGGCAGTGTAAAGCTTCAATTTTTTTTTTCTTTTTTTTAACCATGAGTAAAATGATGTAGCATAGCATTTATTACCTTGATATGTATATAAATGGTGTATATTTATTATCTCAATATTATAAAGATTTATTTTACTTCTTTCATAATTTTCAGATTATGAAGATGATCTCTAAATCTTATTTCTTATATCTGGGAAAGTTTTACCACCATGTAACCCTATAAAGGAAAGCATAATTTAAAAAAATAAAGAAACGAGAATGACGAGAGGAGAAAACTGGAAGCCATGAAGGAACAAGAAACTTATTTTCCACCTGGAGAGTCCTGCACTCGTACTGAGCAGAGCAATGGCATGTGTATGTTACAAGTTTGGAAAGAAAGATTTTTGACTAAATAATATAAAATACAGAATTCTAAATTGTTTACTTAGTTTTCAACATTAAAAAAAAAAAAGTGGTCTGTTCAGCAGTTGGTAAATGCTTTTCGAATATAGTCTTGTTTTACCTAACAGATTTATGGGAATTTAATTTTAAAAAAAGTCTTATGAATTTCCACACTGTTTACAAAAAGTGAAAACAGGAAATTATTCTGAACAGCTTGACCACTTTTATTTGGTAAGTTATTTTATTCATTGAAAACAAAATTATGATTGTCTGCTTTGAAGACAAATTATACTTCCCCATCATAACTATACCTCATATAAAAGGAACACAATATATCTTACAAAACCATTCATCCCATCTAAAATTTAATAACCCGGCGATAGATTTTTTTTTAAAAGCATGATACATACACACAATAATTCTAAGAATTCTCGTACTTTACCGCTTATCTTATCCTGACTGATAATTTATGATTTAATTTAATATACTCTTAACTTGGACAAAAAAATGATAAAAAGATTTTAAAAAAATGTGACAATAACTAATTTTATATTAGAATTATATTTCAGGTGAACACTATGAAATTCTAACAGGCCTTCTTTCCCACTTTTAGGAGTTTTTCAGTCTGTTATAAACAACAGAGAGAAAGAAAGAGGTAAAAAAGAAGTCTAATTTGGAATCAAATTCCAGGATTGTGCTCAATGTTTTGCATACACTTGTAGACTTTAGATGTGTGATTCAATCAAAAACTAAATTTTTTAATGAGAAAAATATCTGCACTTACATGCATGCATATGACAGAGAAACTTAAATCATTTTTTCAAGTACTTGTGCTCACTTATTGCAAGACTTTTTTAGGGAAACTGGCTCCTATTCACGTTGCACATGCAGAAAACCATGAAAATGCCCATACAGGGTTTGCCAAGACTCAAACCCTGGACTGAACTACCAGTGTTCAGCGGTTTTTATTACTCGGCCACTGATAAACAAAACACTAGTATTGAAAACCCTTTAGATTGCTCTCATAGAAGATAATAAGATGTAACAATGCAAGTATGAAAAAATATTATTCTAAAATGCTACTGTGAAGTACAAACTGTTTTTAAATTATTCATCTCTTTAGGTTGAAGAGCATAACACTTATATTATATGGAACATACAGTGGATGGACAAAAATATGGAAACACCTTGTGAAATGCATGTTTGAAAAGAAGGATTGATTTTAATGAAATATGTAGGTGGCGCTGGCATTTTTGACTACTGACGCCACCTATACAACTTCGTAAATGTGCTAAATAGTTCAGTTGTTGTCGGAGTACTGTTGTGTGAGGTTGTCATTGCATTATGTCAGAGTTAACAGACTTCGAACGTGGGCAAATTGTTGGAGCACGTATGGTAGGTGCTTCAGTTAGCAAGGTTCCGAGGTGTTTAGTGTTTCAAGAGGTACTGTATCGAAGATTTATTCAGCATATTTGAAAAGCGTAAAAACATCATCTGCTAAATCACAGCGCGGACGAAAGTGTGTCCCGAGTGATCCTGACAGACGATCATTAAGGGCAATTGTGACGAAAAATAAGAAGACCACAGCTGCAAAAGTTACTGCTGAAATGAATGTTGTGTTACCGAACCCTGTGAGTACCAAAACAATTAGAAGGGAGCTTCATAAACAGGGAATTGCTGGCCGTGCTGCAATTGAGAAGCCACTCATCAGTGATGCTAATGCCCGTAACAAAAAAGGTGGTGTTTAAGTCATAAAGCCTGGACTACAGAGCAGTGAAAGCAAATAATATGGTCTGGTGAGTCTTCTTTCACATTGTTTCCCACTTCTGGCCGAGTTTACGTCTGGAGAACGCCATTTCAAGCCTATAATACAGACTGCTTGTTGCCAAGAGTGAAACATGGCAAGGGTTCTGTTATGGTTTGGCAGCCATATCGTGGTTCTCTGCTAGCCCCATGATAACTGTGTCAGGGCACATGACTGCCAAGACTTATGTGAACATTTTGGCTGATCAAGTTCATTCCATGGTACAAACTTTGTTCCCCGATGGTGATGGTGTCTTCCAAGACTACAAAGCCCCTGTTCACACAGCTCACATTGTCCAGGACTGGTTTTCTGAGCACGAGTATGAGTTGTCCCATCTCCCCTGGCCACCACAGTCACCAGACCTGAATATTATCGAACCTTTGTGGTCTACATTGGAACGGAAAGTGCGTTCTCGTTATCCACCGCCAACATCGTTATCTGAACTTGCCACCGTTTTGCAGGAAGAATGGGATAATATTCCCTTGGCAAACATACAGGAATTGTATTTATCCATTCCGAGAAGACTGCAAGCTGTTTTGGATGCCAAAGGGTTTCCTACACCATATTAAGCAAAGAAACATGTTTAAAGGTGTTTCCATATTTTTGTCCAACCCCTGTAAATGAAGTACCTTATGGCTTGTCAATTGGCAGCAACTTCCTGTTCTACAAGAACAGAAATTTTTACTTTTTATGCAAAGGAAACAATAACAGCTCAATCCAGATTTTAGTTAAGAATGCTTTACTTAAATCTTAATTAGTTGTAAGCTAGAACACTCTAATAAATAATGTCAATATTTTTTTTTTTCATCATAATCAAGAAACAAACATCATCATTTTATTCTACACATGAAAGTAAAGTGATCAGCTGTCCCAGATTTTAAATGTCCTGCTTCAGCACATGTCCCAGACTTTATAAATTGTCAAAATGAAATTTTATGCCCTTTCAAAAAGTTATGGATATTTTAGTGGCATCAAAAATACATTAAATAATAAAATTATTGCACACTTCAGATACTGTGGTACCTCGGCATACGTCTTGTTTGGATGCCAGAATTTTTCTTAGGTATACAACATTCGATTGGAACAATTTGAGTTCAATGAGTCATGACGCCATGGCTTTTGAAGCAATGCCATAATTGCCCACGAACATCAGTGCACCTGCTACTGTTCAGTAAACAATTCATACTATAACTATGGATTTAAAAATGATTTAATGTTTTTTCATATAAATGTTTTGTAAATTCACTTACAGAGAGTTTTAGGAATGTTAATGAGAAGAGTCAAGCAACAAAGAAAATTGTTAGGCTCACCATGGAAGTACTGTTGAAAAGTATAAAAATGGGCATGTATATCTGGGAGCCAGCTGTTGCATACCATATGCCAATTACAATGGTGTCAATGACTGTGAAAAACATAGTCAAGTTGGCTAACTTTGTGAAGAGGATGAAATCAATTACCAAAGTTCAGAGTCATTAGAACCTACTGAAAAACTGCTTTTGATCTGGATAGCTGAAAAATATTTATGTCCAATGCTTCATTTATGTACAGTATATATTTCACCCACTGCATTCGTATTTTAGTATTAGAGTAATACTAACGACATGATTTTTACATAAAAACAGATTAAATATTTCCAGTTTACAGTAAGAAATTATTTTCTTCAAGTTCTGCATCTGTCAGTGTAGTTGTAAAAGAAAATGAATTATAAAAAATATGAAACATACTGTTGATAAAAATTTATTCTGTTAATCAATCTTACATGCATTCTAAAAAAATTTTGTATATTATTCATTGCTCCCTTCACTTTAATACATACAGTCAATCATGTCTTAAGACCTATGGTTTCAAATAGTTGATCTTTACATTATGGTAACTTGGCGTTTTTTTGGCGAAAATTTGGCGACCAACTCTCCTACAGCAACCCTCTATTTTTTTTCCCGCCGCCATTTTTGTCTTCACGAAGTTTCTTTTCTTTTTATCTACTGAACACTTCTTCCAACAATCTACTGCCGAATTACACTTATGCTAGAAATTTTATCTAACAAAACTGCTTAATCATGACAAATATTCACTGCAAAATTGGGAAAAAGTGCACAATACCATACTCCTTACGCATTTTTCAAAATAACACATACACATAAACCATGTACACGCCGACTTATTTTTACTTAAAAAAAACATCCCAGAATTGCACAAAAATGGCATTGCGCACACTCTTCACTATACACATGTACACTGCTTTTTTCTCACAATTTAGAAAAATTTCACGAAAATACATGACAATTTTCTCAATCTTTAAACCCGGTAAAAAGAACATATATGAAATTACCTGATCGCGAAAAAGTATTTACCCTTTCCAAATATGAACATTTCCACATATAATAAAATAAATAAATATCCAAAAACTTTTACCTCTAAATCATCTATTACATTATACACGTCACCAACGAATTCATACCGCAAGCATTACAAATACTTAGTATCAAATATTTAAATTATTTCCATGCACGTTTACTTCAACTAAAACGTATACCAAATTCCTACAAACATAAAATTCACAAAATAACTATCATTTAATTAAAATATAATTAAATTCAAAAACACTACTTAAAATATAAATGAGCACATACATTAAATTAATACATACATAAATACCCATTTCGAATTCACTTTAGTTACGGCCATGGGATCCAAAAATTCACGAACACTGTTTCACACAACACAGAATAAAGCCAAATACAAAATTTCCAGATTTTTCCCGATTTCCCCCCTTTTCCGATTAAAGAACCGTAATTCGTCCATTAATATCACATGACATATCCCATGATCTCTCATTTCCCTCACACAAAATAATGCGTAATCGGAACTGAGTACTGCTCACATTATTACCAAAGTCCCAGGTAGTAACCTTTATCGCCTCCAAAATGTCGCCAAACTACCAGTTACCATATTGTAAAGATCAACCCAAATAGTTTAGGTCGGGTCTTTTTTGGAGATAGACACCTTACAGTGTATAGTTATATTCAATACTCATATCAATTTAGTTATATTCAATACTCATATCAATTTAGTTATATTCAATACTCATATCAATTTATGTTCTGTAATTCATTTCAGAACTGGTACTATAACAGGGTGTAACATATTTAAAAATGGCTTAATTTCTAATTAATTAACTTAGCATAAATTAATTTTATAATGTCTGCCTACATCAAGAAAAATAATAAGAGCTAATTGCAAAGCAATAGAATAAAACTAATACTGGCATCAATTTAAAAAATAGAGGGACATCATTTTATTTATTATTGAGAAAAAATAACATTCAACTAATGTTTTATAAGTGACTACTGCTGACTGTGTATGCAGTATGTTTTATTGGCAGGGGGGAGGCAAGTTTACTTACCAGTCTTTACCATTTATTTTTTTTATTAAAAAGTATGGTAAAAGTTTACAATTGGGTGCCCCTTGTTTTTTGGCGATTCTTTTTTGACGCCAAGAAGACATAATTTCAAGATGGCCGCTACACAAAACCAAAATAAAAAGTCAAAGAATTGCATAACTCTTGTGTCCATGTACACATCGATCTGTTTTCACTTAAAAAAAATCCCAGAACTGCACAAACTAGGCATTGTGCACTGTTTAAATTTGTCCATGTACACATAAATCTATTTTTATTTTAAAAAATTCAGGAGGCTAAAGCAAAGTTACACTATCATGGTAACCAGAAATCAGATTTTATCGCCAAAATTTTACAAAAAATTGTCGCCAATTGAAGGGGCACCCAATTCTATACTAGAGCCAAAAGTACTTAAAACAAAATTTAATAATAGAAATATTTCAGTTTTCCAGTTTTATCTTTTTAGCATTTTGTTTCCACACATAAAATGGAATAAATGAGAAAAATAAAAAAAATCTTTTATCATCAGCAATTAGTTTTAGTTCTGTCATTGACAAGAAATAATTTAAAGAAGTTGCAGTAACAAAAATCTTGCAGCAAATATATTACACAGCATTAGAAACATATAATGAATCATCTCATGGTGACCATCTCTGAAAAAGAGCAGCCTTTCAGAAAACATAAGCAAAGATGTAAATATTAAAAAAAAAACACCATCCTCACAGCATAAAATAATATTAACTCAAAATGTTATCAAGAAATACAGAAAACAATATTTTAATGATTAAATTTCTCATACGCAAACCACATTTATAATGGTGATGATTTGATGTGAGTCAACTGGCAGCAATATACACTAGTGTTTCTGGTCTATTTATTATAGATAGAAACACATCCATAGAGCATGAAATCGGGAACAAAAGCTATTTTATTTTAGTGAGTAACTGAATTTATAAAGTTGTTAATTTCTCTGCAAGTTCTAATAAATGCACTAAACAATAAATTAAACCTCAGTTGATTCAACTATAAATTATGTGTTCTTTCTTGTGACTACATAAAAAAATTAAAAATGCAGGACACTATCTGTTTTCTTCCATAAAATGAAATTATAAATAAATGCCATCTACAGCTGTACTTGCCATAAGGTTGCAATTTGCTGAAATTACTGTAAAAATGTCATTAATGATATTTTTATAAAATATCCAAATTAATAAATCTGACAAGACATCCTTTCTCCTTCAAATAAACAAATAAAAAGCTATAATATCTGTCTGCATGGTTTTAGCAAGATATAAATTTTTTTGATATTTTCTCTGATCAAATTTTAAGAGAAACATGTCCATGTACAATTTTAAATTAGTCAAAAATATGTTGGGATAAAATTTTAAATAAAAGTACTAATCTCAAGATTGATCAGCTATAGATTCCTTTTCTTTTTGCACTTGAAGGAAAATGATCTGTGTCTGATCACTCTTAAAATCAATAGTTTTATTCCAGGGGATGTTTCCATACCTACACAACCTAAGGTTGCTTTTTTCCTAATTTCCTCACGTTTTTAAAAAGGCTCATCCCAGAAACAAAATCAGTAATAGCATATTAATATCAAAATATTCCCCAATTTTAAAAAAATTACAACCCGAAACAAATAATACCCAATCATACAATTTCATATAATAAAAATTAAAATCTAGAAGCTCAATTAATAAATTAACTTTTGATTTTACATAGATTTCCAAAGCTTATTCAGAAATATCTTTCAACATAAATGGGAATGCTGAAAAGTTAACACAAAACTGCAGATTCGTAATTACAAACTAATCAAGTATTAATATCCCGTAAGGAATTAAAAAATACATAACATTGTACCACTATCCATAAAATCACAGCTTGATTTAACCAAATATTTTTAAGGTTTACTTGGATCAGCTAACAACACATGAAAAACCTTTTTGTAACTGCATAGTGTTTTTCATTGAATTCTTTGATGCACTAGTGAAGTTAAACAGAATTAATATTTACAAGGTCTTTCACAGATGTGTTGTAAGCAACATCAGAAGCTGTCAAACCATCAGAATCATAAATATTAACTTTAGCACCATTTTGCATTAGCAGTTTAATAACATTCTCATGCCCACATGAGGAAGCATAATGCAAAGGCGTCTGCCCGTCTTTATCCTGACAATTAACTTCTGCACCTGCAGAAATCAAAAACTTAGCAATATCCGAATATCCACGGTCACAAGCCCAATGTAAGAGAGATAAACCATCTTCGTCAGTTTTGTCTCTCAGCTCAGGATTCGATGAAAACAAAAGCTCAAGTTTATTTAAGTTTCCTTCTTTTACAAAATCAAAGATTGTTTTTGATTCTTCTTTCAACTCCGGATCAGTTCTTAAATGCGTACTGTTTACAGGACCATAATGTTTTTTCTCTGATTTGTCTACCGTATTAGCTGAATCCCATTCAGGACTTAAAAGGGTTACTCTGTCAATATATTCTTTCATTGCATCTTCTTTCGACATATTTCCCAGCTTGTTCCAAGCTGACCATTTGCTCCGATTTCTGAATTTTAAAATACCCGGCATTGGTTCATTGCAAGCTCCAAAATTTGCTTGCTTGTACCGACCGTAAAGATACAATAAATCATCTTGTTGCATAACAGACGCATTATATGTTACGAAGTCAGTAGCTCGTTTAAATGCTTCAGTCAGATCATCATCATTATCAAAAACATCATCGTCATCCATAATCAAAGATAATTAACTCTTTTTTCCTCCCTCAACGATAAATATCAACAGCAAAACTAACTGCAGCTTTCACGATGATGATAACTTGAAATTTTTCACCAAAATAGAACCAGAAGCGAATCTCACTTAGACATGTGGTGCCATCTATAAACCTTTCTGAATATTTACAGGGAAAACAGTTTCATTTAATGTCACGAGTGCATCGCTGCCGTTTTCAACAGACGCGAATGGTTTGGGATATTTTTTCAGTATTACGACGAACATCAACAATAAATTAACTGCAATGTACACAACTCACAAAGACGATAATCTGAAATTTTGCGGTGAAATATAACTATTCTCTCTTAGAAATGTGGCGCCATCTGTAATTCTTTCAGAAAACTTACAGCGAAACAAATTCATTTGCTGTCAGGAGCTGCGGTGCAAATAATAGCATTAGCTTCATTCAAGAAACGCGAATTGTCTACGATATTGCGCTTTGTGTAAAATTAATAACCAGTGTTTCTCAATTTTTGACGAAAACTTAATTCCATTAGAAACACATAACAATGACAAATATTGGAAAACTTAACAACTTCTATTTAAAAAATTCCTTTGCGGGCGATTTAAAAGATAAACTACGAAATTAATATCAAATAATTCAGCTAGCTGAAATTCAAAGATACACTGGAGTTTTTCTGCAAGTCTTAGAAAAATTTATCAAAAATGTACACATGCATCTGAATCAATAAAAAACAGTTTATATATCTTCTGCTAAGATTCTAATATATTTTTTAAAGCAAATAACTGCATCTGTGTAAAATAAGTTACGTTAATTCGTAAGTTTTAAATCCAGCTAGTGACCAGCTCTAATGCATCTAATTTTTTTAAGAGAAATAATAATTCCAGCGCCCCACATAAGATGAACTCTGATATTTGGGGACAGTAATTAATTCTCAGTCAGAGCAGGGCTTAATTTTTAAAATTAGAAGTGCCGGAACCCTATGGAAGACCGTCAGCAAAGAGGAACAAGAGTAAATAAATAAATAAATGACTATAAATCATTTAAATTAAAAAATTAATACTCATTACTTGATTAACATTATCAAGTTATTTATTTAATAATAATTAATTAAAATAAATTAATTAAAATAAAGAGATAAACTAAAATTGAAAGCGATGTTTATAGAATTTTTGAAAAAAACAATTTTCGAGATCAAATTTCTACTGAAATTGTTGTTCAGTTACATAAAAGAAGTGCTGGAGCCTTCATATTTAGAGCTCCGGTGCGCTCCGCCTAGAATTATGATTTATCCCCAAAACTAAGAAGTATCGGAGCTAAGCTCCGGTGGGTTCCGGCTCAATTTAAGCTCTGAGTCAATGCAATCGATGCGGTTGCACCAAGCGTAGAATTTAGGAGGGTCAAAATTTCTAGAATTTAAAAAAATACAAAGTGACAAAATTTACGGCGGGCAAATTTAGGGATCTTACGGAAGCACCGGGCAGCAGAATTTAGAATTCCCAGAAAATTTCTATCAGAAACTTTAATAGAGAAACTTTTGAACGGTTTGGGGCTCAATATTAGTGGAAAATTTATGGACTGTATCATTTTTTTATCAAGAAAGCTTTAAATGGATTAATTAGTAGCAAAAATAATGACGTATCTTTATTTCTTAATGAAATAAATGTTAATAAAATGAATATTCATCTTTATTTATCTGCAGAATACTGTTAAAAATGTTTACGTTTCTTTCATAATCAGTTACTGTACTCACATTATTACCATTTGCTTACCTTTCATTATGGTTTACATGCAAAATTTAAATTTACCATTTATTTTACTACTTATTTTCTTATTTCAATTCACCGTTCCTGAAGATCTATCATTGGGCTCCGGAACTTCTAAATTTAGAAATTATAAGGCCCGTTTACTTTTCTTTATTCTAAGCTAACTAATCAAATTTAATAATAATTTTTTATAAAAATTTTCAAAAATACAACGTATAAAAAATTGAGACTTAAAAAAAAATTTCAAATTTCTTCTTGCCGTCTTGTTCAAGACATAGCCAACATGAAGCTTAAAATAAATACTCTATAATTTTTATATTCAATATTTCTGCAGCGTAATTTTCCGCAAAAATGTTTATTTTTTCATTTTATATTCAATTTTTCTAGGGCGTAAATTTGTACAAAAATATTTATTTTTATTTTTCATTTTTTATTTATATTTACGGTAATAAATATACCGAATCCTCTCATAGCTACTTCCCTTCTAAGACAACCAACTTTAAAAATGACCAGTATTTCTGAGAATATCAATAAACTTTGTATTAAAAAAAACTCTCTCAAACGAAAATTGTGTTTTTCACGAAATACAGTAAATCCTTTCTAAGATGGCCGACCATCCATGGTTCCAGATGATTTTGATTTTCCGTGAAAGCAATTATTTCAGAGCTGAAGTCCACTTACCAATGTTTACTTGTGTTCTTAGACATACTGATCGCTTTAAGAGGTGATTATCTTAAGAAGATGGTCCTAATGACAAGCTTCTTTGCAATCTTCAGCGAGACCATTTGGAATTTCAAAAAATTTTCAATCCAAGTTTTCTGTGCTTCCACGCCGCTCTGTGGCGCGCAGCACAGGGAAGGAAGGCGAACCTCCCTCCTCGAGTACCTATAATGCATCTCTTACCTAAATTCAGCAATTTCATTTCAAGCAGAAAATTTATTTTAAAAAAAAAAAAAAAAAACCTTTAAAAAAGGGGTTTGCGTTTTTAAAAAAAGACATTAAAAGAGTGAGTGCGTCCGAAAAAATATTGTAGTTATATTGGCTGGGCACGACAACATGGAATCGTGATCGATTCTCCTACCACGAACATTTCCTTCATTATTTTTACATAGAGAAAGTGCTTTGTTATTAAAAGTGTAGTCAACTATTGTTTATCGGAGTAATGCCATATCGGAAACGATGCCCACGATTACATTAAAATCACGGTTTTATCAGAGGGCAGTTAAAATAAAGAAAAGAGGAAGAATTCATATTGTAATCGACAGAAAAATACTTTTAATAATTTCCCTCACTTTCAAAGAATTTAATTTGGAGAATAAATTAATTCGGTTAAATACATTAAATCAGTATTCAAAGGAAAAAGTTTTTTTTCCCTCATTCCAAAATCAATGTGTTTTTTTTAGCTTAATTCTTTTTAGACAGGGACCAGATAACCCGCCTAGGGTAAAGTGCGATTTGATTACTGAACCTCTAAGGAGGTCATGAGGAACTGTGAATAAAGATAATTAAATAGAATAACAACTAAACAACAAATAACGAATAATTAAAATACAACAACATATAAAACTATTAATAAATTAATGGCAAAATAATGGATTAAATTAACACAACTAAAATTTCACACAAAATTGACAAATAGAGGAGTCTGGTTCTACTCTAACCCAACAACGGCCGAGCTCTTGAACCGCTGAACATTGCGGTAACTGAGTCCAGCGTTCGAATCCCAGCGAAACGTCTGTCTGCATGAGTCCTTTAGTGGCTTTTCCCAAGTGTAACGTGTATACAAGCCAGTTTCCCTTAGAAAGTTCTCCCCGAAGGTATCCATTCCGTTAAACAGATAGCATTCGAATGCTTCGGCATTCTTAAATAAACTAATTAAGTGAACAAAACCGGCTGAACTTAAGCCCTGTTCGTAGCTCTAATTGTGTATGTTGTTCTACGTACACAAAAGTTTTGCCTTTAAGTACGGATTCGTGGTGCAGGTTTTTTTTTTTTTTTTTTTTCCCCTTCCCCAAAACCATGTGGCTGTCGATAAGTGATTTTTACTTTAATAAAATAATCATAGCTTCTCATTTCAAAAGCGCAGATAAGGACACACTCCCTTCGTTTTATTTCTCAATCGACTTGGAATGATGAGAGTTCGTTTCTTATCATTCGATAAGCTTTATCTTCAAATTGAATTTAAATGTTGTTCATTAATATTCTTACGAATAATCACCACAGTAAATGAATTTTCGGGTTTTACACATGAGTATAAAACAGGAATTCTCAACCAGGAGGGAATTCTTCACTGGGAAGGATTTCAGGGAGAGGATGCGGTCAGCCTTTTATTTACCCGTTAAGTCTTTAGTTTTAGTTTACGAATATAAAAAATTATTGGAAGTTTTGGTATTTATGAACATTTTCTATACTTTTTCTGGTAACACACATTAAACAATAATCTAAATTTAAATAAATGTATTTAAAAGGAAAGAGGGAATGATCGTCTAGCAACGGTGAAAGAGGTTGGCCTTCAAGCTATCACCCTTTCTTTAAGGGTACATCTAAAACCCTTAATTTCTTTATGGGTATATCTTTGGTACACGACTAAAATAAACCAAAGGATCGCAAAATCTAGGACCAAAGGCCCCATTTATTGCAAACCTAAGCGATAATTAAGTTCTAATCTCTTAAGCCAAGTATTACTGTGATTTTCAACCGCTAAATACTATGCACATGACCAAAAACACTTACAACAGCATAACACACAATTTCAGAGGAGGTCCAAATTCAGGAAATACACTGTACATTATTCTGTATTATCAGTTTGTTTCTAATGTATAGTGAATCCTCTCAAAGCGGTTACCTCTCGAAGATGACCATGTCTGAAAAAATCCTGCATTTCTCAGAACGCAAAGAAACATCTGTATTGTACAACACCTATCTAAGACAATCTTTTTTACACCAGGTCGTCCATCTAAGACGATATCTTCCACACTACAAGACCTGAATCATTTGCAACCACTGTAATACTTCTTTGGCGATATGAAGCAACTCCAAATGATGGAACACAGCAATAACTTTTATTTAACACTCAAAAAACGCGACATACAAAACAAGAAGAAAAAAGAATACTAACATTTAAAAATAAATTACATTCTTCGTGCGAGAGTCGCACGAGGCACTCGAGTCTGGTTTCAAATATTGCCATTCACAATACCTTAATGTTCATCTATTTAAATTATTTAAACTACAAGATTTTAATATTATTTAAAGTTGTTACACCACGGATGGCTCACTTAGAATAAATTCGCTGTAATATTGGATTATTAAATAGCAATTATGTATCGTACAGCAACTATAATTTAATAGTTGTGCAATATTTTTTTCATTATTGCTGTTCGAAACATCTTAAGCAGAATCTCTTCGTACTTTTGAACAGTTATGTCATGCTATGTACAGTTTGCGCAGTTATTTCATATGGCAAGGCCTTCGCGACATGGCATTTGTTACTACTGCAAGGGG